TAGTTTGACTTTTTGGAGGCAAGGCCCAGGAGAAGAGTGCACCGACATTGCAAGTCCATTAACCCATCAAACTGTGCAAACTCGATCGAACTTGCACTTGACAATTGGATCACGTCAATGGATTTGCACAGCCAACTATCTCGGTTGATTGCACTCAGCTCACGCAAGTCCAACCGCTGCCATTTGGGAATGAGATTGCTGATATTTCATGCCGGCAGCAACTGCAGGTCAGAGAAAGGAACAGGCTGCTTTGTTAAGCTAAGAAAAAGTGGCATCGACTCACTTCGGTTTCCCCCAAGTGAAGGCATAAGTATATCACATACATTCACATACTCTGTACAAATACCTATATATATACATATATATATATCCTTCAATGTGAACATTCTGCAGTGCTACACATATTCTTTGATGCCCGAAATCTTACAAGCAAAGAAGTGTTTGGGACAGGCCTGGTTGCAATTGAATTTGTTTGATTGACACTAGGTTGTATCATTGTCCAGAATGCATCACAGCTTATGGGGAAGTGGTGGACCATGCAATGTGGATCTACTAAGCCAAAGGGTTATACTACTCACATGTCACTGGCATGTCACATGATCACAGTTTGTTCCAGACATGGACAGGGTTGGAGAGAACCGCGGCACCGTCGGCACCGTGAGCCCACCCAGCCGGTGCCGCGCCACCTTTCGGCTTTTGCCATGGCCGTCTGGCTTTTTGAACACCTTGCGAAGCAGGGCCGTGTTCGCGACTTTGAGGCCTATAATAGCAGATCCTGTCTACCCACATGGCCTTCCTTTTGCCTTTTTGTACGCCAGCCATCCTGTTGCTTTGAAGCCTGCCATGCTCGCGGAGACTACTCAAGAGCTGGTTGTGGCTATATATTTTTAACAAGCGGGTCTTCTTGCCCATGAAGCTCAGGTGACAACCCGTGTGGACGCGTGTAGGAATTCACTTGCTCACACATCACATGCGTGAAGAGTGCCTCTGTCATTGCGTATGTTTTTGTGTGAAACCGGTTGTGTTTCGGATCGAATTGCATAGATTTGTTGGTACGGCACTTGCTGCCGTGCTGTGCATACATCCTGAATAGAATAGAATAGATAAGATCAGATAAGATAAGATAAGGCAAGATGATACGATAAGAGTAGAATAGGATAGAGTTGGCTAGGAAACGGAAGATTGGTATTTTGATAGGAAGGTAATACATATCTCACCACTTTATGTGCGAAGTGTCGTGGTAAGCACCTCAGCTTCGGTTGTTCCACAATTCCACACTCAGCTTTCTTCTGTGAGCTTCATGTGGATTCGTTTGTTTTCAGGTTTTCAACACGCCATGACGCATCATGACGCCCTCAGTTCCTGTGCACCGCCTGCTCAAGCAGTGGTGCACAGATTGAAGTCCTCGTTGGTGGGGCAGCTTGAGATGAAAAAGCTGCTGCCGGGCTTCAAAACATAGCGAGTTGGTGTTCCCCGTCATTCCCTGTCCAAACAGTGGACCGGAAACTTTGAGCTGGTACCACCCTTTTCAGCAGATGCTGGAGGCCGGGGGTTCGCTGCTCTCAGGCTGGGTGATCCTGCAAGCGAGAAAGAGAAAGGCCTCCTGCTTCTTGTCTGCAAACTGCTGCGCAGACACAAATTCTGATGCTTTCCCCAAAAAGCAACCGCAGATAGGGATGGGTGCAGTGGTCGTATCTTTGTTGATGAACGTCTATAGCTACAACTACGAGTTCTTGTTAGTGCGAACGGCACGGGACCATGGTTTGACTGGTTTGACCCACACCAAGATTGATTGTAGGCACATCAAATATGTCCAGCTGTTTCGTGTTTCCAAATTTGAAGGCGTCGGCCGTTCTTTTCAGTGTGAGCTGTTGACATATCAAATCGGGAATAGCAATGCATAGGAGGTTTCGAGGCTATGTGGTTTTCACAGGGCAACCCATTTCATCCCAGGTTTAAAGTCGAATGTGCCAAATTAATGGCCATATTGTGTATTGTAAATCTCCTCATGCTTTTGAAAAGAACGCATTTCATATCATATTCTGTTACACACACATGATCACATGTATATTGTACATGAAAATGAAATTGTATCCCATTCCCCCCAACCCCAACATTATGACATTAATTGTAAAATTCTGTTGTAAGACGATGTCTGCTTGATTGTAACACCCATGTCATATACACCCTATTGTTGTTTTTTTTTTTCTATTTTACAATTTTGTTGTAAAAACCGTTGTCGATGATTAACTAACACTACTATCATATCCAACAATTGCAGGAAAAAACTGATATAATTTTGAGCAGAACTGTAGAAAAATAGTTTCCATGTCACTCGATTGTTGATTTACTATTAATTATAATCCTTCTGGCCGCTATCATTTTTATAATATCCCACCCGATACTTGCAGTATTTTGCAATGTAATGATTTCATATGAAATTATCTTCCATAGTCACACACACACTATATATATACATATATCCTTACACTATTTTTATATATCTATTACAATCACTTAACATCTATTATAGATCATATATAATTACTCTCCAGTAAATTAACATAGACCCTGGCAGATAGGGGTTAGAAGATTAGTTTCTACTACAAATTGGTGATTTTCAGGGTCTATGTTAGTTTACCAGAGAGTAATAGCTATTAAGATATTCATAGCTCTCGAGTTCTTGAGGCCCAGGTCCTGCGAACGCCTCTTCGAGATGATCGAGAAGTGCCTTTTGGTTGACGCAGCAAGAAAAGATGGGTGAAAGGTTTAAAGCCATCTCTATAATATATATATATAATATTATATACATTATATATATATGTATATATATGTAAACAAATGTGTATATATATAAGTACATAAACATATATCTATATCATAATATAGATATTATCTATATCTATATGTAATATATATATATATATATATTTGTGCCTGGTCTTCTTTGAAAGAACATCCAGTTTTCTAGCAACAATTGTTGGAGGTGAACGGAAAATACCCGGTTGATTCAAAATCACATGGTTTTTAGAGCTTTATCGACATTTTAGAGCTGCAAAAAAAAGTTATTTTCGTTAGACATTCATTTTTGTTGCAGAATCGGCCCGGTTGATCGGTTGATCGCCAGGCAAAAGGAACAAGTCCAGAAAGAAGGTACACCCTTGCAGACGACTGTCAGGATCCCTCAGATTTTTTGCAAATCTATTGAGGCGATAGTGATAGTTTTTGCCCATAAGGTTCTGGCCAGCTATTTGGAGATCTACCAGGAGACGAGCGAGTCGTTTGAAACGATAGTATCCACATTAATATAGAGATTAATTGAATTGATATAGATCAATTAGATATTGTATTAATTTAAGGTGTATAGATACATATAATGTCAACTCCGGATTAATAAACCATGGTTTATTAATTGTGGGGGTACCCTCCGGGAGACTCCAAATAGTCACAATATGATACACAAATGGTACCCGCCCAATTAAACAGCCTAGGGGTTTATTAATCCAGGGTTGACATTACATGTACATGTACATACACCTGTACTCATATTTGTAGAACATACATTAACATAATTAGTAAATACATTTGTATATTACATATCTCTATATATATACACATGTATACGTATCAACATGCGATCTGTATACTTATAGACACAATATACATGAACAGATAAATCATTAGAGAACTAGTGAACTAGATAGGTAAAAGTATAAGTATATCTATATATCTATATATCTATATAGATATATACACAGATACATCCGGGTAGATGTATGTCCTGATCATTGTCCATCCACATATACGGCCATGATTTTGATTCAACTGGAGATGGCACACTAGAACTCCAAGAACCGGGTTATGGCGGTACTGTGTTTTTCCCGGAGGAAAAAATGTATGACTTGTTGGTGAACACTCGCACTGATCTTCAAGTGAGGCGGGGCCAAAGATGGCAACATGAAGTGCCCATGATCCATCATCATCCCACATTTTGCCGATGTAGAACTTGTCAAAAGATCAGGACAACGGGTCCAACCAACGCCAGCATCCTGTCTGGTGACCGCGACCTTGTGAGTCTGGCAGTTCAAAACCATCCCCAACATGACCAGACATGTTCTTTCCAAGAATCATCCCCTAAATGGTAGCTTTATGATTGCATCTCCCATATATTCATATGTGTATGATAGCATATGCGTATTATATTATGTTATATTATATTGTATTATATTATATTATATGACTATGATATTATATTATATTATATTGTATTGTATTATATTATATTATATTGTGTTATATTGTGTTGTGTTATATTGTGTTATATTATATTGTGTTATATTGTATTGTGTTATATTATATTATATTATGTTATATTATATTACATTATATTATATTATACTATACTATACTATATAATATATATAATATAATATACATATGTATATATCCCAGTGATATCCCCATGTTGGTGGCTAAAAGCTTATTTTTGGCCGCATTTTTGCAGGCTCCACCCAACCTTGGGCCCACATGTTCCGGGCTTGATCCAAAGTCCTGTCACGACAAGTCACGAGGTGCGCCGCCAGGTATGATGGGTTTAGTGATGGTATGATGATGATATGGTATGATTATAACTGGTTGGTGGTTTGGAACATTTTTTATTTTCCATAATATATGGGATAATCCTTCCCATTGACTAATATTTTTCAAGATTCTTAAAACCACCAACCAGACAATGATGGTTTTAGAATATGATTATAATGACCATATAGACGGTTTAACATAGTATAAATAATCTATGGTATAATCTATGATATACCATTATATAATACATTATCATACCAATATCATAATGATTATTATAATGATGATTTTAGAATATAATTATTCAACATTAAAATCTCGATATGACTGTTTCTTCATCATATAGATGGTTTTATGATGAAGAAACATATATATCTAGATTTTAATGATGATGGATTATTTATGATGGGTTGTTTATGATGGTATGTTATGATGAACATATATTTTGCATCTTTTTTAGCCACCCAGCCCTTTGTTGGAGCCAGAGTGTAGCTGTTGATCAATATGGTCCCCGGGTTTCCCAGGTACACGAGCTCTTGGACTTTGGCGCCAAGAACCGTGCAGTAGGTGGGCGGAAGGGGTGGCAGAGTTGGATACCCTCTGGTAAACTAATATAACTATGGAAAATCACCATCTTCAATTGGTTTTATCAACTATAAATGGCCATTTTCATCCATTTTCAATAGCTACAGTATGTTAAATTGCCAGAGGGTAAGTTTGGCTGATCCAGGGCCGCAACAGTGACCTCTAGCTGTCTTTTGCCAGGGGCTACCAGCATGAATGCCAACTCCTCCCGCTCCCACGCGGTCTTCACTTTGGACATCCGCTTGAGTTACTCGGGGTTAGGCGCCCAAATCAACACACTTCCGAGTTTGCCGTGGAGCGTTTCTTTTTTTCCCTGTCAGAGTTGTTGCATCATGTTTGGGATACATAATTGTGCAACTAGTAGGATACAACCACCCAAGTTGCGTTGCATGTTTTTTTCGTGTTCGACACTTGGATACACACATTCCATCGATGCTGAGGGCAACGGCCAAAGACCTGCAATCCTGCATTCACTTCGTGGCTGGGTTCTAAGATCCAGACTACAGGATGGCACAGGATGGCAATGTTTAAAGATGGTGGCCTACATGCAGTTGCATTTAAGTAGACACCAAATTGACAAACATATTATGTATCAGTAGGCAGACGTAGGAACGCAGGATTTGTGTTTGGTAGACTTTGGTGGGTTGCTGCACATGCAGATACACAGAAGCGATCCTTTTACTGCGCAGGATCTTGCAGGAAGTGAGAAGCAGAAGAAGACCCATGCATCTGGAGAGAGGCTACAGGCAGATAAACCATATTGGATCATTTCGGATCATTTTGGAGCTATTTACTGCTCGGCAAGCATGGGCAAAGTCTAGAGTCACAATCCAATGGAAGGCGTCATTGGTTTGTTCGGTTATTGATTTTGATTCAAACATCATTTTTCACCGTCCCCATATCCATCATATCCCCACAAGCCCTGACCCCTCGCTTTCCCTCCGCACCAGATCCTGTAGGAAGGCATTGCCATCAATCAGTCGCTGTCGTCCTTGAGCCGAGTCATCCAGGTGCGAAATCCTGGGAGATTCTCCCACACTTCGTGGACCCCGAAATTTTTCAGAGATCCAATGCCGCTGGGTTCCTTGGGGGGAGGGATTAGTTATTCTACTTATTATCTGGGTAAATTATAACGACCTCACTGCGACCTCACTGGAACTATGGTTAATAAGGGAAATGATCTCCAAATGGCCTTAATTCAGATTAGTGAATTATTATAATTTACCCAGTTATTATACTTATTTGTTGCTGTTATCTGTGACATCTCGGAAGACGAAACCAGGCAGTGATTAAAAAAAAACCAGTTCCAACATGTTCCAACCAGTGGCAAGGGCGGCAAGGGCAACTTTCGGGCATGACAGCCATGACAAGAATCATACTCTGCTCTGATTTTGGGGTCCCAGAGGTCCTGAAGCATCTAAAGTGGCTTTAACCATCTTTAACCAACTTTTTTCTTTGATGTTTACATGACTTTACTCGTTTTGCCACCAGAAGCTTATTTAAGCAGCCAAACTGCCGAACGCGGCAGGCATTATCCGGAAGCTCCGGTATTCAGCCAGTCTTCCGAGAGTCCAAATTGACCCTGCTGCTGAAGGCCAAGCCGCTCATCAATGGGAAACGTACGGGCTTACCATGATGAAATTATGAAAGAAACATGACAGGTATGATGTGCTAAAACATGACAAATATGATGTGATATGATTTGAGATGATCTGGTATGATATGACAAACATGATGGATAGATACCATGCGATTTTGGGGGTGTTCCGCCTGATTTTCAGACAGAGCGAGCCGGACCGCGCCGCGGTGCAGGAAGCCTTGAGTGGCAACAGCCGAACAGTGTACCCCTGAGTCGATGGTTGCCTGGAAAATCACCATTTTTCACGGGTAGGGATAGGCCATTGTCCATAGCAGTTAAATGACCAGAAGGTATACACTCATGTCATACTCCCCACGGTCAATTTAATTCATGACAAAATAGGGAGAACGATGCTGAGAAAGCGATGTGGTTGTGAGTCTTGCCTCAATGTGATGCAGATGTTTTCAGTTGCTGTCCAAAATGGGTACCCCAAATCTTCCATAAATCATTAGATGTTTTCACCTAATCATGGTGACTTATGACTCTGACTCAATGGGTATTTTTATCATGGTATCCCTAATCATTAGACCATGACTTACCCTCTGGTTATTTAGCATAGCCATGGAAAATCACCATGCTATCAATAGGTAAACCATCTATTTCGATTAGGGCCATCGAAAAACCATGGCTATGTTAGTCATGACCAGATGGTAATCTTGAAAACAATGACTGGTGACTGGGGGATCCCAGAGATCCAGAACGACCTGGAAACTGAGGTGCTCCTGGCCTGCGTCAGCCCGGCCCGGAGCAACTTTGACGAGTCCGTCAGCACATTGGAATTCGCAGCTTTGCCCTGAGATCTGAAGATGATTTGGCCATGATCTCCAAACAGATAGAATCTAGAACAGTCAATGATCACCCTATATTTTATTGCACTATTTATTACTTTTCTAGCTGTTTGGGGGTTTACTATGAACGTGAATCATTGGAGTTCAGTGATTCCTGATCGAAAGGCTCGCTGCAAGCTCATCAAGACCAATGCAAAGAAAAATGAGCAGGAAGAAAGGGGATGGGTACCTATCATATCCTACCCTGGGGGGATGGAAATCCATTTTCCATCCATATGCCTTCCATTTCCATCCGGGTCTTGACCCATTCTCGATGGGATCCTGAGCCAGGACAAGCGGGAACTGATCGAGACCCTGTCGAAAGAAAAGGAGGAAGTTGAAGCTCGATTGGAGGCACCATTTTTCAGTGGCTCCTAAGTTTGAGGACTTTTAGAGAACTGGAAGCTTTTCAGGTGGTTAATGGATGTTAATGGACCATCTTCAGATCCATATTTTTCTCACAATTTCCCATGGTGCAGTCTGATGATACCAATGATACCACAGGCAGAAAGGCAGCAGAAGCTTCTATTGCAACATGAACTCGAACGCGAGATGGAGGAGTCCAAAAAGAACCAGGCGGCTTGACCTTGAAAAGACTCTTCATCCTGGGCTTGCTGGGCTTGCTGGGAATTGGTGTGTTGGAAATTTTGATGGGAACATCATCCCAATTTTATGGGAATATCATCCCAATTTGATGGTGTTCATCAGTTCATGATCATATTTTCCCATATATTGGGAATATACCAGCCACTTCAGAGCCCCTTTGAAAGGAGCTAGCTCAGCAGATGCAAGAGGAAAAGCAAAGAATTGAGGACATGCTGCGAACTTTGAAGTGCTGTCCTCAGACTGACTTTCAGTATCTTTCAGTGACCGTAGGGCTGGACAACCACTGCCCCAAAATTGGATAGCTAAAGATTTTTAACAGTACCACAACGTACCACACATGACCAAAAACTGTGGTTACCGGCAACTTTGACCCATCCCGCCATCCCTCGTCCTTGAAGTGGTTTGTTTGCCATAGGTCTAGTGTAAGTAGTGCAAGCAGTGGTGGAACTATCGTTGGATTGGGCCAGTTTCTACTGACATTCTTGGGCCACAGCGGAAAAACCAAACCAATCTTGAAGGATTCGCTGATTAGCTTCCAAAATGCTAACCCAAAAATGTCAAAAATAAGGGATACCGGATACATCCTGATACCCCAATTTATGGTATTTGTTTTTCTTCCTCTGGGGACGATGATAGACATTTTATAAACCAAACCATAAGATTTGGTGGTTCTCCCCTAAACTTTCAGGTAGTTCGCCTTAAATAGCTTCAGTTCTGCAGTCCCAGCTCTCGGCAGGATTGAGCAAGAAAAACAGAAGGAGGCGCCCTGTATTTTTTCAGCGGAATGAACTCAAAAGAAGAACTCCTTTTTTCATGTGAATCAAGATCGATTATATAGGATTATTATATAAGCATGTTTTGTGCGGAACTTTATTTTCAGACAAGCCCGAATCAGAAGGAAACACTTCTGGACCTAGAAGATTGGTCATAAGTTTGAGCCAGTGGCAGTAGGTCGGATCTTTACCCGAACTGCCGACGATCTGGGAATCAGATCTTTTCAGACCCACAGTTTGTCCGAAAATAGGTGTCTTCTTTGCCCCAAATGCGGTGGTTCATCATCATTTTCCCTGCTGAAATAGGCATAGACAACGTTTTTTTTTTACTCCCATTCTTGGATCAACGCACCTTGATCAGTCACTTCTTACGCACTTTCATCGGAAGCACCACCAAAAAACAAACAACAGCTAGAGGTGAGCGTGCAACAAAGTTCAGGCCCAGACACAGTTCGTCACCTTAGTGCTTTTGGCATGTCGGGCGGATGTTTGGCGAGGTGCATCTATTTTTAAAACTATTGTAATATTGAATATATTTACTAAACCATTGGATTTGCGGGTATCCTCTTGTTGGTTAACCCAATGTGATAGAAACGCAATCCCATTCGCCTAACAATAATCCCCCTAAACAAGGGACCACAAATTGATAGATCCACGTTCAAACCAAGTTTTTTTTCTTCGGTTGGTCTTTATTCTTATCGCAGGCGCAGGAAGAAGGCCTAAAAGTTGCAGGTTGTCTCGCTCTGCACTAATCGTGATTGGTAGAGACAAACTTGAGCACGGCGACTTCTAGGATAGATGGGTAGAATATGGTAGAATCAGGTCCAAGCAAAATGTCAAAAATGTCATATATCGTTGGTAAGTGGACAGAGATTGAACAATCCTGCACGGTGATTGGCACGCAATTGGCAAGCGATGGGTGCCTTCTCGGAAAGTATATATTTTTAGACAACCAGAATCAGATTCTCAGATTCGGGGTTGTCTGAAAATTTTAGGGGAAAAGGAACACCTCTCAATTCCAACGGATGATCATGTATGATTTGAATTGATTTGATATGATCATCGTTGTCCGTATGAAAATGACCATAACGTCGCTTTCCAAGGCTGAGATGGAGCGAGAACTGCAACATCTTCGAGAGGTTCAGAGGCCGGCCACATGGAGCAGAGATTGGTTGATTTGACACATGCTTTTTGGGTCAAAACCATGATACCCTAGGCATTCTTGAATAGCTGGTTCATGGAATTTCATGGATGTTTATTCCTCCAAATATGGTAATGATCGGTCTTGACCCATCCCCATGGGGTAATGTGGTAAAGCCAAGGCCATAAACCATCCGAGGGTCATCAGCATTTTATAGCATCATTTTATGGCTGCGATTTCAACAATCCCCTTAAATGGGAGTTGTTTATGGGGTCAAAATGTAAGGCATGTTGGTTGATTTTAGTATGAATAATCCAAAAAAAATAGGAGATCATTGACTAAATAGGATAGTACTCATTTTTTGGAGGATCATCAACCATCATCAGATAGTGATCATCATTTACCCTCTGGTAAACTAACATAACTATGGAAAATCACCAATGGGTAAATCCACTATAAATGGCCATTTTCAATAGCTATGTTAGTTTACCAGAGGGTAACTCTGCGAAATGTTGATCCCCGTTGTCGTTTGCGACCGGTCTTTTTTGACCGCCACGAAATGGCGGAGGCGTGAGACTTTGGCCCAAAAGCAGCTTGAGGTCTTCAAGGCTTCACCAGTTTCATCATACCACGACTGTTGGTGGTTTCCATAGTATGGGATAATGGTATGAAAATGGGATAGTTATCAGAATTATGATGAAATATGCTTCTAATATGCTTCTCATATGTTCGATAGTGGATAAATTATGATAAATTGGATAGTGATAACACATGATAAAACCCAGAGCAGACTGGTTGAAAGATGATACCAGGAACGTGAGCTCTCCCAGCAAAAAGAGCTGGAGCGCATCCAACAGAGCAAGGTGGGTTCTAGGGAACCACACTGGGATCTTTTTTTTGTCATCTTTTGGCTCCGAAGGCACCAGCTGTTTGGATCACTCTTCAGTGCGGTTTTTCTATGTATTTCGAATGTATTTCGAATGTATTTCCAGAAGCACCAGCTGTAAACACTCGTGGGTTGCATGCACAGCCAGTTGTCTCAGTCTCTGAGCTTCGACTGAGTTTTAAAGTGTTTCAGCTGGACACAGTAGGACGTTTTGGTAACTTAGAGACATGGGTATGGATCAATACCTATACATACCATTTTTAGGGGGATGAACATCCATTTACCAGCTATTTTGGGGTTCACTAGGTACCAGGGTTTTGACCCATCCCCACATGATTCTATTTCTGGATGGACCAAGCAGATGTTTTTTGTCACGAAAGGATCTCAAGATTCGGATTTTTCTGAGGTATCTGTAGACTCGACCCATACGTTGATCATCATGTATCAGTATCCCCAAATGGCGGCCCTGCTGCCAGTGAGATATAGTGAGATCCATGACCAGTGATAGGCAGAGGAGCTTTCACAAGCAGATAAAGAACGACAAGCAGTCCTGATGGAACTGCAGGACTGCCCACATCCAACCACTGAAATGCATGGAAGGTCGAGAAAACCCATGGAACGCGCACTTTAGGAAAGTCCTGAGACTTCAGGTCGTGGTCATTCATTTCAGTTGAAAGCCATGATAACCATGATATCTGCTTTGACCTTGGAGCCTCAACGGCTTTGGTTGTCTCTCTGTCGTGCGAATCACGCTTTTCGGCGCAGGAAAAGCTCCAAGCCGTCGAGCAGAGAGAGGAGTTCAGCTGCCTTCTGCAGCGTCCCCAAAAGCCAATAAAATGTCTATCATCATTATCCGTACATCTCCCTACTCAAACGAGGTATACTTGGGTATACTCAGTATACTCCAAAATTGCCACTTGCCACAATTCGCTCATTGGATAAATCATACTGTCATACTGCGCCCCCAACTAATGGATGATCCCAGTGAAATCAGCTGAAGTATGGCTCCTGAGGAGGAAGAACGTCAGAGAATGGAGGCTGCCCGCATCACAGAGGTGCCAAGAATTTTTAGCATGCCCTGATCCAAATGCAGCTTATTGATGCGCATATTGGGTTTAGGGTTTACCATGCTTTACTCATTTTTGTTGGATGGCACGGAATTTGATAGTCTCGGTCTCCTTAAGTTGACCTCAGCGCACTGAAGAGTCCTATTCCAGAGCGGATCGCCCGATATCGTTTTTTGGAGGTGGAATTGCGACAGCGGATCGAACAAGAGATGTGCCAGCCCAAAAAGTGACTTCAGTGACTCAGACTTCCATCAACGATGAATCTCCCAAAAATCATACCCTCTGGTAATGACTAACATAGCTATTGAAAATGGCCATTTATAGTGAGTTTTCCCATTAAAAATGGTGATTTTCCATAGCTATGTTAAATTACCAGAGGGTAATGGAAGACTCGTTGCATCAATGTGTGCCGATGGAAATGGCACAATTGGCACAAACACTTGGCTTCACAATGCTTCACATATAAACTTAGCGCATTCTTCTGATGTTTGGCCCAGTTGATCATATTCATATTACAGGTACATCAGGTACATGTTAGGTGAAAAACATATTTCTTGGTTACGTGTACCTTGTTGGCAGCTACTCGTACTTCAGGAAGCGAGTACAACATCGTGAGGAGGCACTGCATGTATTTCAGTTTTGGATGCTTCCAACATCAGAGTCATTTCTAGTGCGGAAGAAGGCAATTGTGATCAATTGTGCATAATTATATTATATGCTGAATTTTGCTGATTATGCTATGTTATCCCTTTGAAATTACCGCACTCATTGCAGCCTGCAGCCGTCTGAATTGCCATCAGAACTCCGAAATTGAATCGGCATTTGAGCACATGTACGCACTCTTGCCCGAATGAATACGTCACAGAAGTCAGCTCCTTATACAGCAGGTTTGCAGTTAATCCTTCGCCAGTCCAAACTCCACCGAAACCAATGTATATACAGTTCATCATTTGGGTTTGTCTGAAAATAATAGGGTGTCCTAAAACCCAATGGATTATCATCATTTTCCAAATTAAACTATATAGTCATACATTGGGCTTTAAATATCGTTGTTTATCCTATTTTGGTCTATTTTGGACAAAGGTTTTTTGTTGGCTTAGCGGGCAGGATCTGAAGAAGGAGCTGGTAGGTCTGGAGGGTCTTCGGGACAGCCTGGGACCCAGGAGCAGGTTTTTTCAGAAGATGAAGCCCTTCGAAACTTGAGGTGAGAAGCAGGTGGCAATGAGGCACATGACTTGAACAGATCATTTTCCATGACTTCCCATTGGTTGAGGGAAAGATCTCCAGGAAACCACCAAATTTGGGTAAAGCTGGTGGGCACTGCCAAGGTTGGGATATGGAGAAGGCAGACATCGAGCAGAAAGCGCAGGTGGGCTACAAGCCATTCAGAATATACAAAAATCTAGGGGCTTCCAGTTTCTGTCATGATTTTGGAGAGACCCAACCACCTAAAGTCCCTAAAGTCTTCTGGTTGAAGAATTTGAAGAGCATCTGGGAGTGGTTGTGAGTTACTTGTGCCCCTCAACAGGAGCACAAGTTGTCTCGAGAGCGGCTTCTGAAAGAGCCACTTGGTGTTCGGCTGAAACACATGCGCTGACGCTGCCTTGATCCTTGGCAAACCTGCCTGGCTGGTGACTTTCTTTTCGCGGTGAAATGCGGTGAGCATCAACATCCAGAGATTCAGATGGACTTGGGCTGTCCGGATTGAGGCTTGGTATTTCGGGCATCGATGATCTCGAGGCCGCAGCCGGGCCGGGCGCGGGGGGGTGCCGTTTTGTCCAGTCGCAGCCACCAGCGAGTTCGTCAGGATGCGGAGAAAGTCCCACGCTTGGTGAACATGAACCCCGACAAGTCACTGGAGGCCAAATGGGCGGATGGGATACAGAAAACATCCGAAAACGGCACACCTTTTTAAACATTTTGAGTGGTAACATGGTCATTGTTCTTCCTTTAGATTTTTGCCGAACGAAGGGGTGGAATTCCCCAGGTGGATTTCTCATTCCTCTTTGTTCGGGACATTTGGAATCTGCCTTTGAGATCCTGTCAGCGTTTGGTGATAGCTTAGGGTTTTAAGGGATTCTAAAGAGGTCTTGAATCTTGTGCTCAGAACCCGCGCATCTGACTGTTGTCAGGGTTGCTTGATCTTCTACTTGCCGCTAGAAGAGACGTGCTGCACTCAGAAATGGGACTTGGAGAAGAATTGTTGCAAGAAATATGTGGTGCCCCCTGGTGACACCAGGTGCCTTTCAAAGGGGCAACGACTTCAGGCACATTAGAAGATTGATGATGCTTTCATTTGGCTCAAGTTTCTGGCACATTTGAAGATAGCACCAGTCGTTTTTTTCTTCAGGTCTTAGATACCCAACCTTAGGTAAAACTGAACCTCCTGGCAGAAAAAAAATAGTTCTGCACCATAACGTCTTTTATCAACTGCGGTTCTGCGGGCCAGAGAGGGCCATGGCGTTCTGCGCTGTGCGCTTTCTAACCAGCGCATCTCAAGTAAGTCTAGAGAGCGCAAATGGAGAAAAGATGCCCATGCTGAATTTGGATCTGAAACTGCAGTTGTCGATTGCGGATCTCCTGGAAGCGTTGCTGACCCAAAGTGGCTTGGCAGATGGCATACCTCTGAAAGTTGAAGCTGACACAACTAGTGATGATGCCGCAGAGAGTGAAGCTGAAGCTGAAACCGAAGCAGCTGCTGAAACCGAAGCAGCTGCTGATTCGTTGGCCAAAAACGAGCTATGGCAGCCGTTTTTGGAGTCCGAGGACATGAATTCAATGAAGAACTTTGGTCCAGGGCTGGCAGGTACCACAATGGAGACCCCATGGATGGAGACCGCACCGTGGGAATTCTACGAGAATCCGTCAACCTGGGACTGGCTGGGGACAAGCGTGGGCGCTCTGCGGGAGATCCCAGATGATGGTAGTCCTACCTCTGATGAGGAAGAAGTATGGTCACGACGGGCAGCAGCTCGCAGGAAGCAGATCCAGATTGGCAAGAGTCGCCCTGAATATCTCCGCTATATCTCTGAGGTGAACAAGGAAGATAGGCTGCCGACTCATCCCAGAACTCCTAGCCCGACACTTCGAATCCCCAAACGACAGTTCGACAGAAAGCTCTCGAAATGGCGTCAGCAATTGCATGAATTTGACCAGGTGTCTGCTGGTACACCTCGAGAGTCAGAACATCAAAGGGCGAAGGAAAGCAGAGATCATCCATATCCGCTGAAACTTTTCCCTTATTTAGAGCCTCAAGGATGATTGCGGTCCTGCAGTGGCAACCCCAGAGGCCCAAAGAAGGCTTGGGCGACAGAACCGGTGCGAAAGAATTCTATGCGTCCGAGCGTGTCATGAGCTCTTCTCTGTTGAAATATGTTGAAATGAAGTTTAAACATGATTGTATATGATTGTATATGAATATATTTGATTATATTTGATATTACATTTGAATTACATTTAACATGTGTTGCAATGCATGCGGTTCTGATGTTTCTTAATTTGCAAGTTGACATCATGATCAATCCAGTGGTTGTCTCAACAAACATAGGCACCCCCAAATCCAGTGGTTTATGGGTTCAACCATTACAGGTTCAAATTTGAATTCTGGGGGTATCCTTCATTCTAACACAAACATCACAAACCCATAGGGCCCATAGGCCCATGATTCATCATTCGTATCTCATCAAGACTGAAGCCCAAAGCGTTCTGCTGGAGCTTCCACGCAAACACAGCCTCAGAAGGGCAGCGCAAATCACGAAAGCTAGCGGTAGCTGGAGTTACTCTTGCTTCAGCAAGGGGGGCAGCTCTGAGTCCAACACAGTGATTTTTCACTCAACCCCCCCAAAGCTCCCCGGGCATATGAACCTTGTGCCTCAAGTGATTGTGTATGGCGGTATGGCGATATGGTCATGGTGTCATGGTGTCATGGTCATCAATCCGTGGCTGCCATTACAAATCATTGATTATAAGCAATTCCTAAGAATTGGTAATCATTTATAATGATAACATTAATGATAACATATTATAACAAAATAACGTATTACAGTATTTCCTGTGGTTATATAACATTTATTCCCTTATTCCCATTATTTCCTATTCATTACTTACATAACATTGACCATTCAGATGGAACATACGTTGCCTCGAGGCGGATCGGTGCAGATCATCAGAAGTGTCAGGCCGCTTTGAACAAAATCCATGTGGTATCGGAAAGTCGGCCGTAAATTGTTTTGCTGATTATATCAACATTACCCTCTGGTAAACTAACATAACTATAGAAAATCTCAATTTTCAATGGGAAAATCCACTATAAATGGTCATTTTCAATAGCTATGTTAAATTGCCAGAGGGTATATCATATATCCATTTTATATTCCAAGTCTAAAGTCTTGGTGAATTTTCATGTTTAGTTTTTTTTCTTCCACACCCATTTTATTGAATGTTTGAAGAGTAATTAGGTGGTTTGAAATATTGTGTGTTATTTTTTGACCCAAGAGGGGAGAACTTGTACCGATGATGATGATGATGATGATGATGATGATGATGATGATGATGATGTCAATTGACACATATTATTCAGATGGGTTGACAACCACCAGCCAGATCAATGCATCATAATACCACATACAAGGTAGGGCCCTTAAGTTGGTTTACAGCCCCATCCAACTATACTACCATAAACCCTAGTTATGAAATGTTGTAAACCAAATCAGCTATCATAAATCAACTAGACATCCCATTAAATCACCATGCTTGTTGTGTAAACATCACTGTTTACATCCCTTTACGCATTGGCGGGCCGCCTTGTAGTATCCCCCAAAGAAATTGATGGCTGAGCCGCAGGTGTTCCTCACCGGCCTCGATGTGGCAGAAGAAGTCTGTGCGCGGTCCCAGCTGCGTGATATGCAGCATATATGATAATAGGATTAATATACATGAATGTGATATATATATATATATATATATACATGCATATACATGGATGGATGGATGGATGGTTGGTTGGTTGGTTGGTTGGATGGATAGATAGATAGATAGAGGATGATGTGTGTACATCTACACATGATGTGTGAATTTACATCGCATATCAGCAGCACACTCGTTACCTATGCAGTAGCTCCAGCACAGGTGTCATCCACAATGAAGGTCACGAGAAACTGGAGGCGCTGTTGGGATTCTGTTTCATCAAGAGGGTTGCCTTAAATATTGTGATTATTGGGATATGGAGATAACTTTCACTTTTTTGCAAAGTATTGTTGAACCTTGAAAGAATGATGGGGAGAAGAAGGGTATCCTTTTTTGTTTGAGAACCGAAAAAGATCCAAGACGACAAAGCCGTGTTTGGTTCCAGCTTGGTGTGGATATGATATACCTCCGGTCCTCCATTTATAGTTTATGTCCAAATGATAGTTTTGATTACCGGATTTTATGTCAGTTGGTGAAAGGTTCGACCATGCCCTGGTGGGTTGGTGAGAGTCAACGGATATCAAGTTGTCCGGGCGCTCAATGACTAACATGGCAACTGTCGAGTTGATTTGGCGGTCCCAAAATCAGGCTCTTAAGTTCCTGCTGCATCCGCTAGTCCCTATGGAAGGTTTGTCTGGACATGTGGTATCCAATTCTATCCAATTGTTTATCATGACTTATCCTCGTTTTTCCAATTTTTTGCAGCATTTATTGATATTTATTGGGTGATATTGGGTGTACCCCATTTTCAGACAATTCCATTTGGTAAGTCAGTCGCTTGGCAGTTCCCAAAGGAGATGCTTTCAGTGCCGAGCACCGAGCATAGCGAGGATGACGACGAAGGTCGATTGCTTGAAAGCGGAGATCGCTTGGCAATTGGCCAGGGGCACTCAGCCGCGGCAGGATGATGGCAAGGCTTGAGGATGATTCAGTGTGATGCTTATTGTGCATATATATATATATATTATATTGCTATCATCGTAGTAGCGTTAACATAGCTTTTGGAGTTTCCAGGTCAGAACTGACAAAACCTGGTGATCAGAGCATGGCTGGCTTTGACTTCATTAACAAATACCATCAAAAGTGGTGATCGGAGCATGGCTGGACTTGATCCCATCGAAGTATACATATCGAAATGAATTATCAGATTGTGATACGATTTTATGTTTTCAATTTGATTTTACCCCAACATCGTGATCATTTGATGTTTTCAATATGATTTTACCTCAACATTGTGATGCATTTGATCAAGCCGGATTAAATAATGATACGATTTGATGTCAAAAAGATATTTAGCATTTCATTATTTGATGAAAGAACCCTGGGCTACTCCTAACGGGGCTACTCATAAAACTTGCTATCCTTTCCAAAAAAAACGAGACAATTCCAGGAAAAAAACATAAAAACATCTAAAAAATCAAAAAACATATTCAAAAATCCAAAAAATAAAAAAAAACTGGAAAAACTGCAAAAAACGTTAAAAAACACGAGAAAAAGAAAGCGGGAGCGAAGCGGGAGCGAAGCGGGAGCGAAGCGGGAGCGAAGCGGGAGCGAAGCGGCAGGCAAGAAAACCATGGAAAACCGTGAAAAAACGTTGAAATCATCGAATCCGCTTCGTTCCCGCTCCGCTCCCGCTTCGTTCCGGCTCCGTTCCCGCTTCAAGCCCGTGGAGTCTTAACGCTACCATGATCATTTCAATGTCTAGGTGCCAAGGGTTGTTGCCACGGAAAAATCACCAGAAAACACGCGTCGTGTATCAAGGTCAATTTACGCACCAACAAAAATCACCAAGTTGTTGCCACCAAAAAATCACCATGAAACCCTAGGAGTGTTAACGCTACCATGATCATTCCAAATTATATATATATTATATATATTATATATATATTATATATATTATATATATATATTATATATATTATATATATATTATATATATTATATATTATATACATATATTATATATATATATTATATTATATATATATATTATATATTATATATATATATATTATATATATTATATATATATATATTATATTATATACATATTATATATATATATATTATATGTATATATCTGTTTAGAAAGCGACAGGTTTGGGAGGCTAATGATCCTGGAAGAATGGAAACTGTATGATGGGACACATTTGCGCCATTCAATTTATCTGCGATCTGGAGCAATTGTTCTCACTTTGCCTCTACACAGATCGCAAAGCACATCGAGCCTGTCATGGTCAAAGGCAGCTGCAGTCTAGGAATGAACTAAAGTAAGGGAATACGAAGTCTATCGTAGGGTTCAAGGGCTTTTGCTGCGGGTGACATGCAGCTTTGTCCAAAATTTGGGTGCCCCAGTTTGTTGGGACTAATTATAAGCCATCAATTTCATTGTCACTCTAAAAGTATGGTCCCCACATCAGAAGCACTAAGTTCAATTCTCATTTTAGGTCACTAGGATTTTTCGGATGGCTTCCTCCATGTTCTTCCCCCGTTTCTGATGATCTCAGACGGTACATCAGGCCGAGCGCACATCTTCCGCGTGGTGATTCCCGCCAGCACCTCTGCAGAGTGAGTCTGGCTGGTTCATGCTGCGAAGCGCTGCGAAGCCGCGCCCAACGAGAACGGGAATATCATGGCTGGGATATGTACAGCCAACAGCCAACAAGATGATGTATATGATATGGCCTTGTCATGGCTCCAAAAATATGAGGGATTCATCGCAATTGTCAATGAATTGCTAGAGGCTACAATTATGCTAAACTTCATTGGATTTTACCCTCTGGTAATTTAACATAGCTATTGAAAATGGCCCATTTATAGTGAGTTTTTTCCAAAAAAGTTGTGATTTTCCATAGTTATGTTAGTTTACCAGAGGGTATGCTAAACTTCATTGGATTTTAGGCATCCCGGTATCCCCCATTCTTCGAAAACCCTGAACAAAGATCGTTACAGCCAGGAATGTCGAAGAAGAAGACTTTGAGAAGGCTGGGGGCTGGGACTATGGAAGAGGTTTACAAGGGCGCAATGTCACAGCTCTAATTGTGGCCAAAGTTCACATCCGGACAATAATGGCTATATTTTTTTCTGGCCAACAAAATAAAATAGAATTATATATTTCTAGCATATTCTATCCATATCTTTCTACATCCCGCAGTCATCCAATCTTTCAGGCAATGAAAGAGTTGCAGGCCAATCGCGAAGCCGCGGCCTTGGGAGCCTTGGAAGCCGCCTGGAAGCCTTGGAAGCCTTGGAACGGCCGAGCCGCCCAGGTGGATCCTCGCTATCGTCGCGCCGTTGATGCCGCAGTGATGATCGTGAAACATGAGCGTGGCACCAAAGAGGTGGCCGAGACAAGGGACTGGACACGAAAAACCGGAATCAAGAGATGAAGATGATGTTTGAATATGTTTGATGTGTAGCAATGTCATAAACCAGCCAGAAATGGATTGATGGTTTAAACAAGCCATTTATAATGGTAGAATTGGGGGATAGATTACTTTTGCTTTACTAAGACAAGGTCCCACTGTTGCCAGGGCGAACATAGTTCGACCAGTCCCTGGCAGGCCAATTCTCTGCTGGAATCTGCCAAAGCAGCCTCAGAGGTTCGGAATTGATAATCCTGAGTACCCAGCCGCAACTTGGAAAGGCTACACAGCTGCGAGATTTTTGCTATGTGATCAAAGTGATCTTTTGACGCCTCCTTGAATATCTTTAGACTCTAGATGCGCTATGTCCTTGCTGATCTAGGCCTCATCAGCACTAAATACTGTTCACCTCAAGTTCGAACATGTGGTAAAGCCATGTACAGTCAACATGTTCACCACCTATTTTTTTAAAATGAAACCGTAGTAAACCATACCATCCTAAAGAATGTGGCTTGTATTCAGACCATCCTGAAATGGGAGTTGTTTATCGGCTGAATCATCGTAGCAGGTGGTGGCTGAAGCCAATGCGATCCTCAAGAAAGTGCCGCAGGAGTAGAGCGTTGCTTTTATGCCGTGGATCTGAAAGATGCACATTAATGGGACCAACAATATATATATATAGACACTTACACATACATACACATGACATGTATACATATAAATATAGATATCAATATAAATATAATTATAAATATGAATATAACTGTAACTATAAATATAAATATAAATACAACTATAAATGTAACTATAAATATAACTATAGATATAAATATCGATATAACTATCAATATGATACAACTATAAATATAACTATAAATATGGATAAATAAAACACATGTACATATATGTAATATGAGATAGTGATACATACCTGCATATCTATCTCTGTCTCTCTTGCGATGTATATATATATATAGATACATATACACGCGATGTATGTATATATATATATATATATACAAATAGGTATATGGTATGTGAATGTATAATGTATAAATAAACATGAACAAGGACTGTCCAAGAAGAGAAGCATGCCTCCGGTCGACGATAACATTTCGGTGCGTCGTGGCAGCAGGAGTGGACCAGTGGTGTGTCCCACTATGAGCTGGCGGTGCTCTTTCAGGCTTTTTTTTGACATTCTTGGTGGCGAATCAGATCACAACCGCATGGGAAACTGCGGCCCTGGGAGGCTGACGGTCCGCCGGAAGTGTGTGTGGTTGCAAGACCGGAGGCAAGAAATTGTGGCGGTGAGGAGTTGAAACTATTCTGAAGCATGATAATTTCACCCCAAGCCAAATTTTGATGAATGATGTTGAACTTGTACTTATTTAACCGTGCATGTGGATATCGCGCCCACTTCGCATTTCAAGATCAAAAAAGAAAGGGGTTGGTCGGACCGTGCTTCTTCCATAGGAGGATGAGACAACAGCGACACCAGAGCCAGGAACGCATGGGCGGGTCGCCTTGGTTGTATACTTATATTATAGATTTTATATAGATTTTATATATAGATTATAGATGATTATAGAGTTGTTCAATAGGGATCCACCCACCCCCCGAAACCATAGCCGTAGATGGCTCAGATTCAACGGCCATTTTTTACGTGGTTTGTTGTATGTTGTTGTCCTTCATAAACCCTACAATCCTTAATGTTGGGGTCACACAGGCCTGATCTTCATGAATCGTCATGATTGTTGGATGGATCTGGCTGTTCATATTGTGAACAATATTGTCATCTATTGTCGATATTGTCGACCACAAACGCTACCATTATCATCTATTATCCTCTGTATTTACTAATTGTTTGCTGATATAGTTACTCTTCATCCATTCAGCCTTTTCTGAGAGAGAGGACTGGTGCTTTGTATACCTCGCCATGTGAGATTCGTAACGTGCTGATTTACCGTGAGGAAGTTGGCAAGAACGAGGCTTCAGTGCTGGTATCTGGGAGGCAGTGCCGTGCTAAATCCGGAAGCTGTTTGAGTAGAACAGTTCAACGTGTCAT